TGAACTATGAACTGAACTAGTTCATTTTAAAATGTGTGAACTGAACTTTGAACTAGTTCACGTAGAAAAAGAACTTTCCCAACACTGCTTATAAGTCACTTTTGCCCAGAGCTGATTCTACCCTGGTTTAAAAAACGAGATGTAAATAAATTGCTATAGTCTTTTAGCGTAGTAAACTAGCTCCACCCACCAGCGGCCAAAATCATTTTTGCTTGCGAGTCGTCTAGCCTCGATCAATGCCCCAGGCTTAGAACTGGCCGGCCAACCACAATGCAGAGATGTGTTTTGAATTTCTGGATGCAAAGCAGGCGGGGTTTGCCATTGAACACAGGAGCAGCAGAAGCATCACATGCATCAAAAACACACTTTACTTGCGTCTGACCTTAATGTGTAAGGCAACAAATGCTTTTCGCAGCTGAAATGGTGTTGGGTGTGAACGTAGCATTAGTCCCAATTTGAACGAGTATTTTCCATGACTGTTTACCGCCAGGTTGAAAGCTCTGCGGTCCACAGTTTCTTTCCTATCAATGATAATTTTTATACTGTTGATTGCAAAGGTGAAGGAACAGAAACTAGGAGCTAGAGTTTGCTCAATTTGGTCGAAGACGTTACAATAATATGCTACCCAGAACGATATTGAGCTGGCAAGGTCTTCCTACAAAAGCTTTGTGTGTCATATTAAGCCTCTGTGTGGAACTTTAAAAAGTGTCCAACTGCAGCCTTTGTGAAGTAATATTTTAATTTCAGGCCACTTTTTTATAGAAAATACAAATATTTGAGCAAATAAACAAATTTTCTGCTTTGTTATATTTCACAAAAATCAAAGCTACTGAACTGAACCACGAACATTTAGAGGCGAGGATTTACTGTAGGTCTACTAGTGGAACTAGAAGGGGAAACCAACTATGAGTGACCACACGTGTTTAGTGGTTAGGTATCCATTTATCTCTGGTACTTTATCTTTCTAGAACAAAAGGGATAGGAAATAATATAATATCTAAAACCAATGGTGTACAATTGCTAGTATCAGGCAGTGTTTTCAACTTACTTTTAAAAAAAAGTGTTTAGAAACAGAGAGAGACACTTGAACGCATCGTATCAAGACAAGCGGCAGTGGAAAAGTGACAAGTTTGATTAAATACATTCTTATTCTCTGTTGACACTGTTTTCCTTTTTTTAGATTTACTATACAGTAAATGAATTTTTGGATTCAGTAAAAGAACTGCGTTTGAATGCACCATTAAATCAATGCAGTTAATTAAAATTATTCATCATGTTTCCACCCAATAATACTCTATGTCAGGGCATATTTCAAGCCAGGATGCTTTCTCTGCTTTAATAACAGTGTTCTTGTAAAATGGTTTCTTCATGAAGTAAAAAGAAAATGCGTCACAACCTTTGATTAAAAACTAAACATTTACACAGACGTCCACTGTCAGCATGGAAAACCACCATCTGCATGCTTTTACAAACACATGGATGATTTTTCTGTGTAATTTCTTTTGACTACTTGTGAAAAATCATTGATAAACCACAGATCAGTTCTGCTTCTCCATCAGAAACCTGCATAATGAATGTAACACATCGATCAGTGGTTGGTCCCAACCTGGAGAAAATGCTGCAAGCATGTCTGAGCCTTCTAAGTCCGTTTGGGTTCCGGTTGATTCCGGTACAGACGTCATTCCCTGGGGTCCTGGCAGTGGGAGCAGTGGTTCATCTCTTCGGTGTAAAGCTCAACCTGGATGGTGATGTTCTGGAAACCAAACTTGTTGTAAAGCAGCTCTGTGGCCTCCTGAAGCACGGACTGAGGGTCAGCACCTTCCTCTGATATGGAAACGGAAGGGGAAAAAATGGTTGTTAGTTGAATCTCAAGGATATGCAGTTATTTCATATTAAATATGATGCTTAGATAAAAGAAAATTAAAGCTTAGAGGGAAAAATGCTCATTGATGACTCCTAATATTATCAACTATTTAAAATCCTGTTAAGATGCCAGAGTCTAAATCATCAGAAATATTTGCTTCTTTGGAGAAGATGTTGCAAAATGATTTCCTTTTAATTAAATCAATATTTTTTTGTTAGATGAACAGCTCTTGTAAAAAAGTAAAAACAAATGTTTTTGGTCCTTTTAGTTAAACTGGGAATAACTTGGTATAAAATGAGTGTAAATGGGATGTTACAGAAAGTCTCAGTTTTATAACTAGAAATTTGACAAGCATCCTGGATGAGGATCACATCACACACTGTGAGGTGGGAAGCAAGCAAAGTAACACTGTTCTAGCTGGTGGTTAGGGAGGCGTGCCAGGAAAAAAAAAACTTTCCTTTTGTACCATCACAGATATAGATGGAGTCTGCTAAATGCTTCTTGGACTTTAAATGGAGACTATGGGGTTTGTTCGGTTGAGACAAAGACTGAGGGCCGAATCTATCAAAGGTTTGCGTGTATAAAAACGTGAGCTATTTCACTGCGCACGCTAAAAAA